CCCGAGAGGGAGGTGGCGTGGCTTGAGCCCTCCCTCTGCTGTCCCATTCAGTCCTCCCCAAACGCGGCGAGGTGCAGGCGTCAGCAGCCCCATTTCACAGGCGGGGAAAGTGAGTCCCAGAGGGTCTGGATGTTTTGCCCAAGGTCACACAGCTCGTCAGTGGTGGAACCCTGTTTGAACCCTTATAGGACCAAGTCCAAAGGCTGTTTCCACTAACGCTTCCTTCCTCACGTTTAAAAAAAAAAAAAAGAAAAGAAACGTGTGTGTGTGTTTCCTGGTTAGTATTTATGCATTTCTTCCGGAAGCTCAGGCACTTTCAAGGCCCTGTAAGCGTTATGGTAATTTCTAGAGAGACGACAGTTACATTAACATCTGATACAGCTCACAGCTTTTCTGCAGACAGGCTCATTTATCTCCACGGGCTTTTATTATAAAAGCTATTTACATATTATACATATTTACAATTCTCTCCCACCACCAAAACCAACAAAATTTCCACACGCGTGTCGCTTATGAATTTCTTCTGAACTAAGGACACTGAGATATTCACTGTTCTCCCCCAACTTGCTTTAGTCTTTTTCTGTGTTGCAATTTACTCTTCTGATTAGTTCTTCCCAGGCTCACTTACACATCCACAGGCCTCATCATTTTCGCTGTTCTAAAGAGGCTTTATCACTTCAAATCATGAGCTTGTGTGTCAGTACTCCCTTTAGCTAAATCTCCTAAAACGGTTTAGAAGGGTTTTTTTTTCTTTCTTTCTCAGTTTCATTCCTTTCAAGAAACACTTATTTCAAGAATGTCGTCTGCAGGGTGTCTGGCCCGGCGCTTGGCTCTGGGAGCAGGAAGCTGGATTTGCTGTGCGCTCTCCAGGAAGGGAGCTTGTTGACTGGCAGCGGGTGGGCACCATATTAGCAGTGCATGGTGGGCAGGGAGGGCAGGGACCGCCACTCCGCCACTGCTTAGAGTTCAACAAGGCACCTTACTGAGTTCCACCACTAAATCAGCCCTGGGACTGGGGACAAGCCACAACCACCCTCATTGTCCTATTCCTCATATGAAAAAAAAGGAGGGGGAGTGTTATGGGTTGAATTGTATCCCCCTTCAAAATTCGTATGTTGAAACCCTAACCCCCAGAACCTCTGACTTTGACTGTATTTGGAGATAGGGTCTTTAAAGAGGTAATTAAGTTAAAATGAGGTCAATGGAGTGGGGCCTAATCCAATATGACTGGTGTCTTTATAATAAGAGATGAGGACACAGGCACAGACACACAGACTCAGAAGACCGTGTGAAGACACTGGCGGGGGGGGGAGGAGATGGCCTCTGCAAGCCAAAGAGAGAGACCTCAGAGGAACCAACCCTGCCCACACCTTGATCTTGGTCTAGATCTCTGGAATCACGAAAAAACAAATTTATATTGTTTAAACCACCCAGTCTGTGGTACTTTGTTGTTGCAACCCTAGCAAATTAATATGGGGAATGATTACAATACCTACAAGGAAACAATGGAATGAAAATGCATTTAAGCTCTGTGTGCCATATAACCACCATGGAGTTTTATAATTTTTGCTCTTACTGAAATATAGTTTTCAAAGTCACTGTAACGGACATCTGTTGTTTCTGCCTATTCAGGGTTCATTCCCCTCTCTTCTAGGGTCAGCATCACAATTACTGGGGGTGTAGGGCATCTCCTACTCTTGGCGCATGTGAACTATGGTGCTCACAATGCTCCTCCCATTCCAGGGACAGGCAGGTGGCCTTGGCCTGCCCACCGTGACCCTTGGCATGTCCCATTCTCTTGACCATCGTGACTGGGTCTGGGATGGGTACATGTTCCAAATTACCCAGATTCAATCCTAGGACCTGTATTGGATTTAGGATTGCCTGATAAAATACAGGATGATCGGTTAAATTTGATTTTGTATCATCAATAAATAATACTTTAGTGTGTGTCCCAAATATTTGCTAAATCTGGTAACCCTAGCTGGACTATTAAAAGAAGCTCTTTTTTAGCTGAATGTGGTGAGCTGGTGGAATGTAAGGTGACAAAGTCTCTTCTTTACATAAGACTTTGTGAATTGGGTTTTTGTCATCTGCAACAAAGAATGATGACTTGTAAAGTCACAATTCAGTAGTTAAGCCAATGCTTGAAATCCTCTAAAACCTGCGCTGTAGGTTTCTCCAGGCTTTGCATAGATAAGGAAGAGAAGAGAAAGCTTCGTCTGAGAGGTAATGAGAGACAAGTTTAAGCGCATCCACTATCTCAGATAGTTCTACTTGAAGAGTAATTTTCTTTTCCTTTCTAACAACAGGCGGTGTTCTGGTACTGCAGAGATGATGAGGTTTGGAAGGGAGTCAGGGCCTCAGGGCCTGTCAAAGCTGCTTCCCTCTGCAGAAAGGGAAGCATACAGCACCCTTCCTCCTGCCGGGGCCCCTGGCTGCCAGGTCAGCGACAGCATCATGGGAACAATCAGAACCAGTGGTGCAAGGTGGGCCGGACTCCGCCAGACCCAACAGTGGATGGGCAGCATGTGGACATCCGCTCTGAAAACTTGGAAATAGAGGTGCTTGCTTTTTCTCTGTGAAGGGAATTGTAAATCTAATACTAAGAGATGAAGTAGAGATAGGCAAGCTCGTATAAAGACACAGCCTTCTGGGGCCACAGGATTGAAAGACAAAGAGAGAACTGAGGAAAGCATGAACACAAGTTAAAGAAGACTGTCAGCAGAACGAGGGCGATGGGCTGTGGAAGCCCAGACAAAGTCACATCCATCCTGGAGACAAGTGCAGGCCAGGCCCATCCCCGAATGGGCCGCAGAGGGTCCTTTGCTTGACTGGACGTGGACACTCACGTCTCCTTGGTCAGGCTGACCTTGTGGGGGCTGATTTGGGCTGAGAGGCAGTTCACGAACTTGTTCCCTCCCTTTGCTGTGGCCCCAGAGTGCCAGTTCCGGAAATCTTGGCTTCCCTTCTAGCTTGCCTGCAGAGTGGAGAACACGTGATCTGCTGGCGCAACACTGGTCAGGATCCAGGCCCGTTTCTAAGTGTACGTTGATGGAATGCTGTTCCCTTTTATAGACCCGCCTGCCTTGCAGCAGTCTCCATTATCTGTACTGGCAGGTGTGGTCAGCTCCTGGGGAATGCAAGGCAGAGTGGATACAGTCTGAAGCAGGGTCATCATCAGTCAGTGGTCCCTCTCCCTGCAGGGTGTCCAGAGTGTGGGTGCTGGTGATGCTCACGAGGTGACATGTTTGGGGAACAGGGATGACAGTAATCAGAAATCCCTGCCTATACCAGATACTGCTCCACCCACCTTCCTCTGTCCAGCACATCAGATCAGCAAAGGCCAGGCCGTACTCTGTCCAGTCTCTGCTGACTCCAGAGCTTTGGAGGAGGGAAGGGTTTGGCATAGGACAGTGGAGGGATTCTACTCTGGGCTATACAGGCTTCTCCCAAAGTTTCTGAGATCAGACACGCACCATCTGGTTTCCATGAAG